ACTATCACTTTCACTGCTCACATCTGAGTCTTGTACACGGGCAAATAGTTTCCTCTTTTGTCCTGGTACAGGTGAACGTGAACGTGAACATGAACGAGCCGGCCCAGCACCAGAGGTGGAAGGTCATGGGTCATCTGGGTTTTCATCACTAATAACGTTATCCTGGACACTTTTTTCGGTCACACCTGCTTGAAAACCATGGAATTCACTTTCACTGACACTTCCATCGCTGTCAGAGCTATCACTTGGGAACAAAAGACCTCCAATCCGCCGAGGAGTGAGGTACTTCTTACTGCGAGGCATGGTGAAAATGGACTACCAAGATGGCATTCCCACAATGCACCACTGAGTCCCAGATTTTTTTCACAGGGTGTACACCCACCACTCAGACCCATTCTCTCTTATGTAGGCCTGCTAGCTTTCTCCCGCTTGATTTGAAGCCGCTAGAATTTACACATATAAATACGCCAGAAACAGTGGCATGTAAGATGTATATATACGACATAAACAGTCAAAGGGTTAAACTGTCCAAACGTAGATAAACGTTTGCACACATACCGCTCCAAACGTAAATCAAAGTTTTAGTTTTCATTTCTTCAAAATTGGGGCGATAGGCCTGAGTCGCCTAGACACGAGAAAATGGGTTTTAACAATCGGTGTGCACAGTATTAAAAAAATTTGGGACCACTAAGTACCTTGTGGGAGCACTAGTTCAACTGAGTGTCAGCTAGAGCAAATATTAACACTCGCCTTTTAAGAGGAAAGTAAAAATAGGTTAGATAAATATGAGTGGATGTGGGTGGGTGTGAGTTGGACCTGACTAGCTTGTGCTACTAGGTCTGATGCCGTGCTCCACCCTTCAGTGGATGTGACCTGACTAGGTGGGTCACTGGTCTAAGCGGGGGGGGGAGGGGGGGGGGGTTGACATGAGCCAGTAGGCCTGCTGCAGTGTTCTTTCTTTCTTATGTTCTTATGCATTCAGCAGGCTGGCTAGCTTTGGCTGTCTCTCTGTCTGTATCTGTCCATCTATATCCATCTATCTGTCTATATCTCTGTCCATCTATATCCTTGTCTCTCACATGTATACATAAGTACAGTTATTATACAAAATGTAAATTACCTAGGATAACCCAAAAATTCCAGGCAAAGTGCTATACAGTGCTTGTAGATATAAGACATAATAAACATGATGCAAGTAATACACATTTTCACTTGCTCAGCAATCAGGGAGCAGCTCGTAAACCAAAAACCAACAGGTTTACAAGCTGCTTCCTGAGACAGAGAGACAAACAGATGGAAAGACAGACACATATGCAGACAGACAGATAAGCAGAGCTAGAGAGACAGATAAGCAGAGCTAGAGAGACAAATAAGCAAAACTAAACAGACAGACAGACAGACATGTTTGTCTGGAGTAGTGCACATTCATCAAGTGTCACTGGGCTGTCAGCAGTTTACTGACACTTATCACAACACAATGCTTCAAGGAGTTTCATATATACTCCAGTGTCTAAAACATTGTTGGGATGAATATGTTCACCTGTTGGTGTGATTGTGAATGAGTACTATTTCAGTACCTATTATTAGTGTCAGAACAAAGATTGGCTATGAAATCACAAGAACCATTATAAATTGTAATTCTTCTTTCAACATACCAGCCGTATCCCACCGAGGCGGGGTGGCCCAAAAGAAAAAACTAAAGTTTCTCTTTTTAAATTTAGTAATATATACAGGAGAAGGGGTTACTAGCCCCTTGCTCCCGGCATTTTAGTCGCCTCTTACAACACGCATGGCTTACGGAGGAAGAATTCTGTTCCACTTCCCCATGGAGGTAAGAGGAAATAAACAAGAACAAGAACTAGAAAGAAAATAGAAGAAAACCCAGAAGGGTATATATATGCTTGTACATGTATGTGTAGTGTGACCTAAGTGTAAGTAGAAGTAGCAAGACATACCTGAAATCTTGCATGTTTATGAGACAGACAAAAGACACCAGCAATCCTACCATCATGTAAAACAATTACAGGCTTTCGTTGTACACTCACTTGGCAGGACGGTAGTACCTCCCTGGGCGGTTGCTGTTTACCAACCTACTATCTAGTCAACCTACTATTGTAATTATTAGAACATAATAATTATATAAATAAAAATAAAAATGAGAAAAAAAGGTATATCGGCAACACTTCTGCAAGCAGCAGAACTCGATGTTGTCATCAGGTGAGCATCCAGCACCAACTTCACAGGCTTATATCACAGTAAGTACTGGCCCTAAAAAATTTTATACTATAACATTTATAAAAATGCACTCTTCATTTAACCCTTTGACTGTTTCCGACGTATAAATACGTCTTACGAGCCAATGTTTCTGACGTATTTATACGCATAAATTCTAGCAGCTTCAAATCAAGCAGGAGAAAGCTGCTAGGCCCACTTGTGAGAGAATGGGTCTCCATGGTCAGTGTGCACCATATAAAAAAAATCGGGGAGCCAGTGGTGCATTGTGGGAATGCCATTTCAGTTGTCCTTTTTCAGCATGTCTAGCGGTAAGAAATATGTGATTCCCCAGCAAATCTGGGACTCTTCTCTTCCCCAAATGATGCTCTAACACGATGGAAGTGTCAGTGAAGATCAATTTCATTTATTTGGAGGAGTTTGAGACCAAAAGCAATGGAGGAGGAGGAGGGGAGGAGGGGGGAGGGAAAAGGAGGAGGAGGAGGAGGAGGAGGAGGAGGGAAGAAAGGAAGAGGAGGAGGAGGAGGAGGGGAGGAGGAGGAGGAGGAGGAGGAGGAAGGAGGAGGAGGAGGAGGAGGAGGAGGAGGGAAGAGGGAGGAGGAGGAAGAAGAAGATGAATAATATTGTTCCCTTGAAGCAAGAAAAAAAAAGTCCCCATGACCCGTGACAAAATAAGGGGAGAAACATCTGTTTAAGAGCTGACTTTGATGAGCGTAAAGGAGGGTAATATTTCATGACCATCACCCTCCCTTTGTTTTTGCTGGTACACAAACATTTCTGTCTGTTATTTGTCTGTCTGTCAAGCTCCCCGTCTCTCCATCTAGCTCTCTGTCTCAGAGAGAGCACCCAAAACTGTGTCATCACGTTTACTCACATCTTCAAGCAGAGTATAGCACTTTGTCTGGATTTCTTGGGTTTTTTCCTAGGTAATTTACACTATGTATACTTGTATTTATGTGTACCTGTGAGACAGAGATAGGCAGGGCAGATAGAAAGATATAGAATGAGGGAGAAAGATAATTTGAATGGAGGAGGGGAAGCAGCATCCGACCCCATTGTTTTGACAGGCGGTAGGGGGGGACAAATATGAGATAATATGTCACTTTGACAGCTGCGACTTCTGACTCAAAACAATTATAAGCCCCACACTCGCACACAAGACAAGGAGGGAAGGAGGAGGAGGAGGAGAAGGAGGAGAAGGGGGGGGAGGATTAGAAGGAGAAGGAGGGAGAGTGGATTAGAAGGAGGAGGAGGAGGAGGAGGAGGGGGGGAAGGGAAGGAGGAGGGAGAAGGAGGAGAGAGAAGGAGGAGGAGAAGGAGGAGGAGGAGGAGAAGGGGGAGAAGGAGGGAGGAGAAGGAGGAGGGAAGGGGAGGAGAAGGAGGGGGGGAAAGGGGGAGGATGAAGGAGGGGGGAGAAGGAGGGGGGAGAAGGAGGGAAGGAGGGGGAGGGGAGGGGGAAGGAGGAGGAGAAGGAGGAGGGGGAGGAGAGAAGGAGGAGAAAAAGGAGGGGGAAGGAGGAGGAGAAGGAGGGGGGGAGGAGGAGGAGAAGGAGGAGGGAAGGAGGAGGAGAAGGAGGAGAAGGAGGAGAAGGAGGAGGAGGAGGAGGAGGAGAAGGAGGAGGAGGGGGGAGGAGAAGGAGGAGGAGGAGGAGGAGGAGGAAAAGGGAGGAGGAGGAGGAGGAGGAGGAGGAAGGAGGAGGAGGAGAAGGAGGAGGGAGAAGGAGGAGGAAAAGGAGGAGGAGGAGGAGAAGGAGGAGGGAGGAGGAGAAGGGGAGGAGGAGGATGATGTTGTTTGTTTGTTTTTGTAAACAAGTTTGAAAAACAATATATTGATAATTATGTTTGTGTGCTTATTGTGTTGTATACAACGAGTGTTATATATATACATTGCACCTTACTTTGGTCTCATAGGCCACATAAGTTATGTGAAAAATAAAATAGTGAAATAAAAAAAAAACCTTCAAATACAAGTAAACTAAAGTTTACCGGGTGAGCGGCAGTCGCCGCTGTTGCCATACGCGGCTCATTTTCTGCAAACTTCACGGCTCTATATCTCGGTAAGTACCGATGGCAAAAAATTTTTTTTTTGGACTAAAACACTCAGAAAAATAATCTTAACATTTTCATAAGAAAAAATAATTTTTTTTTTTTTGAATATTTGGCGACATAGAATGACAGTTTCAGAGAGGGGCCTGAAACAGTCAAAGGGTTAAAAAAAAAAAGAAGATTTTTTTTTCAATATATTCGGAGCACTGCATGAGTGAACGTAGATCTACATTTGGATAGTTTAAGGGTTAATTCATTTCAACGTTATAAAAATGCTATAAAAATATCTCGTAGTATAGAAGAATAAGACACATGCAACACACTGGTATCTTTATTTCGGATACTATTAATATAATAGTTTTTAGTATACTAGTATAGAAAAACTGTTATTAACCCTTAAATGGTCCAAACGTATATATACGTTTTTTCAACATCTGAAAGTATGTAAAAAAATGTAGATCCTCTTTTTTGTTTTACATTTGAAAACGTGTAAAAAAACTTTTATCTACATTTTATTTTGTTACATTTGAAAATATGTAAAAAAAGTAGATCTACTTTTGTAGCACTACGAATTTGAACGTCAGTCTCTTTGGACCGTTTAAGGGTTAAATGTAAAAATGTAAAACTGTGTTTAAAATCTCAATTCAAAATTAAAAAAAAAGAGGAAAGAATATTAAAACAAAAAACTGCCTAGAGAATTACTATATAGAGGTTAGTACATACTCCCGTTCTTGGTCACGCAGCACCCTCAAGATGGGAACTTTCGAAATTTCTCCTGGGAAGTGGAAGAGATGCAGTTAGTTACCCTCTGGCTTAGGCTGATTGTGGTTTACTTCGAAAACACTTCAGATGGGAGAGTAACAATGAAATATATTAGGAACATCTGAGGTCAAAGAGACGGCTAGGAGTTCATCAAAATACCTAAAAAAGTTAGAGAAAAACAACTTTAATAGAAACTAAATACATGTACTTATTTAAATTTTTTCATCCAGTGGTTACACTTCTCTTGCATAATCTTCACTAAAGGTCTTACCACAAGGTGCCTATCTCTTTCTGGATTTTTCCTTTCATGGTGCCACATCTATGTAGAACAAACTCCACAAATGTCAGCATTCTTATTATAAAAAATCCTTTTTTTTTTCAATACGTCAGCCATCTCCTGACGCAGGGTGACCCAAAAAAGAAAAAATGCTTTCACCACCATTCACACATAATCAGAGTCGTTGTAGAGGTGCTCAGATACGACTATTTAGATGTCACTCCAAACAGCCAATATATCAAACCCCTCCTTTAACCCTTTCAGGGTCCGTCCCGAATCTACGGCTTTATGTTCAGGGTCCAAACCGTAGATCTACGCCATGAGCTCAGCTCACTCTGATAAACTGTGAGTGGTACATTTGGGCCTAGATTTATGAGAGGAATACATCTATGTGTGTATGTGTGCACCCAATAAAAACAGACCTGCAGCACACTGTGTATATGAGAGAAAAAAAATGAAATCATGATTTTTCGATTAAAACAGCAACTTTGCAGTGTTTTTTGTTTTTTGTTTTTTATATTTGTATTTGCGATTTCTTGGTCTCATTTGATGAAGGGAAAGGGACATTTTTTAAGAAATAGGATGATTTTGTTTGGTTTTAGCTTTGGAAAGGGCTTGAAATGAGCTCAAAGTGCGGAAAATGTAATTTTTTGCCCATTCAAGAGAAACAAGCGACCCCACTCAATACAGTCACTGGGGGTCTAATTACGTGGACCCCCGCATACCGGCGCTTTGCCCAAAAAAATTTTGCCTGCATACCGCCCAAAACCCGCTCAGCCCCCTTTGTCCGGCGGCCCAAATGGCGGCCGAGCCACCCACATGTTCCGTGGGGGCACTTTTTTACCAGCCAGCCCCCGCGGTAACACCCAAAGCTTACAAACGGAACTTTGGAACATTTTTTTATTACAGTGTTTTTGGGTGTTTTTTTTTGGGAAAAATAAGTGACCATGGGCCCAAAAAGCTTTGGGCCCAACCCCTAAGCAAAAAGGGTGAAAATTACTATGGAGATGAAAAAAAAGATCATTGAAAAGTAAAAAAGTGGAGTGCGTGTCTCCGAGCTGGCCAGGTTGTATAATAAACCCCAATCAACCATCGCTACTATTGGTGGTACAGCTGCTGCTGCTGCTGTACCACCGTCAGCTGCTGCTGCACTGTCAGCTGCTGCTGCTGTACCACCGTCAGCTGCTGCTGCACTGTCAGCTGCTGCTGCTGTACCACCGTCAGCTGCTCCTGCTGCTGTAGTACCGTCTGCTGCTGCTGTAGCATCGTCTGCTGCTGCTGTAGCATCGTCTGCTGCTGCTGTAGCATCGTCTGCTGCTGCTGTAGCATCGTCTGTTGCTGCTGTAGCATCGTCTGTTGCTGCTGTACCAGCGTCAGCTGCTGCTGCTGCTGTAGCATCGTCTGCTGCTGCTGCTGCTGTAGCATCGTCTGCTGCTGCTGTAACATCGTCAATTGCTGCTGTAGCATCGTCTGCTGCTGCTGTAGCATCGTCTGTTGCTGCTGTAGCATCGTCTGTTGCTGCTGTACCACCGTCAGCTGCTGCTGCTGCTGTAGCATCGTCTGCTGCTGCTGTAACATCGTCAGTTGCTGCTGTAGCATCGTCTGCTGCTGCTGTAGCATCGTCTGTTGCTGCTGTACCACCGTCAGCTGCTGCTACTGCTGTAGCACCGTTGTTGGTGTGGCTTATTGAGAATACCAAGAAACAATTAACCCAGAGGATTTGCCACCCAGGATAGCCCAAAAAAGTCAGTGTCATCGAAGACTGTCTAACTTATTTCCATTGGGGTCCTTAATCTTGTCTCCAGGATGCAACCCACACCAGTCGACTAACACCCAGGTGAACAGGGAAAATGCCTGGAACTAGTGCTCATATTGGTGAATTTAGAGCCAGCAAAGGTTGGTTTGAGAGATTTAAGAATCGTAGTGACATACACAGTGTGATAAGGCCTGTTCTGGAAGAAAATACCAAACAGGACCTACAGTACTCAGGAGGAAAAGGCACTCCCAGGACAGTGTCTCATCAGTCATTGCTGCATCTTCAATAAAGGTAAGTGTCATTTATTCTTCATTTAGTAGAGCAGTACATGCACAATATATATTGTGCATGTACTACTCTACTATTGTGCATGTATCCTTCTCTTTGTGTGTAGGAAAATGTATATTTCATGTGGTAAAAATTTTTTTTTCATACTTTTGGGTGTCTTGCACGGATTAATTTGATTTCCATTATTTCTTATGGGGAAAATTCATTCGCATACCGAACATTTCGCATAACAGCCAGCCCTCTTGCACGATTAAGGTCGCTATGCGGGGGTCCACTGTACATTCACAAATATGGTGATGATATTTATACAATTATTACAATATTGCATAACAGTAAATCTTCTATTTTTTGGTGTGAATAAAAATTCATTATGTGAATAAAAAATCAAAATGGAATTTGTTTGTAAAGCCTCAAAACATAACTAATGAACAGAGGAAATGTTAGTTTAGTGCCAGGAATGCCTACATTGTTCATTCTGGACCCTATTTTGAAATTGGAATATTTTGAACTTTGTGTTAAATTGGCCAAATTAACAATTTCCGATCACTTTATTTTGTAGTTGAAACAGTTGAATTGGCGATTTCTTGTGCTCAATCGATAGAATAGAAGTAATACTAGTGAAATAGCTATGAATTTGGTTGATTGGAATAATGTAATTGGCCTAAAATGGGAATCAAAGTCGGCAAAATCGCCGATTCGTAAATATCGCTGACACATCAAAATTCGCGAGAGCATAATTTCGTCAATTTTCCACCAAATTTCGTACTTTTTGTTTTATTACCTTCACAAAAAGATTCTCTACGATTTCATAAGAAAAAATAACAAATTTTTTTTTTGAAAATTCTTGGACACTGGTGTGTGACTCCAGATTTGGGCCTTGGACCCTGAAAGGGTTCAAGTGCCGGCATTGTACTTCTCATCCCCAGGACTCAAGTCCAGCTAACCAGTTTTCCTGAATCCCTTCACAAAATATTACCCAACTCACATTCCAACAGTTCATCAGGTCCCAAAAACCATTTGCCTCCATTCACTTCTGTCCAACATGCTCACACATGACTGCTGCATGTCCAAGCCCCTTGTGCACTTATAGATGGGGGAATTAGTGAAACTTGAATTTAGAGATAGGATGATACCAAAATTTTTATAATACCGATATTGAATTTTAGGTTAATACCAGTACCTACTTTTCAATATTTTTTATTTTTAAAATTATGATGACTATGTTCAATATACAAGGCAACATTTATTTCTCAATAAATACTATTAACCCTTTCAGGGTCGCCAGGCCCTCTCAGAAACTTGTTCTCAGGGTCGGCCAAATTTAAAAAAAAAATTGTTTTTTCTTGTGAAATGATAGAGAATCTCTTCCCGATCATAATGACACCAAAAGTATGAAATTTGATGGAAAACTCATGGAATTATTCTCTCGCGAAGTTAGCGGTCTCGGCGATGTTTACGCATCGGCGATTTTGCCCACTTTGAGCCCTATTTTCGGCCAATTCCAGTGTACTTGTCGACAAAAATCATAACTATTTCGCTAGAACTCCATTTTTTCTATCGAATGAGTACAAGAAACCACCCAATTACCAATTTCAACTATCCAATACAGTGGTCAGAATTTAGCAATTTTGCCAATTTCACACAAATTTCAAAAGATGCCAATTTCCAAATAGGGTCCAGAATAAACAAGAAAGACATTCCTGGCACTAAAATACATTTCCTCTGTTCATTAGTCACATCCCCATGCCCCTCTTACATTCTTTTGCTTTCCACTTTGAATTTTTATTCTCACAAAAAAAAATAGAAGATTTACTGTTATGCAGACTACTGCATTGGTGTAGAAATGGTATAAATATTATCAGCGCACTTGTGAAAGAATATTAGACTCACCAGTTGACGTGTATTGGACGCATAGCATGATTTGTTTACTTTTGAACTTTGGTAAAAATTGAACTTTCTGCTACTTTTAGTACAATTTCAAGGTACTTTTCTTTGTAAAACCAGTCAAAATCATCTCAATTTCTGTAATATGTCTTCCATTAGGTAATAGGTTGGTAGACAGCAACCACCCAGGGAAGTACTACCGTCCTGCCAGATGACTGTGAAACAAAAACCTGTAACTGTTTTGCATGATGGTAGGATTGCTGGTTTCTTTTTCTGTCTCATAAACACGCTAGATAACAGGGATATCTTGCTACTCCTACCTACACTTTGGTCACACTTCACAGACACGCACATGCATATATATATATACATACATCTAGGTTTTTCTCCTTTTTCTAAATAGCTCTTGTTCTTTTTTATTTCTTCTATTGTCCATGGGGAAGTGGAAAAGAATCTTTCCTCCGTAAGCCATGCGTGTCGTATGAGGCGACTAAAATGCCGGGAGCAATGGGCTAGTAACCCCTTCTCCTGTATACATTTACTAAAAAAGAGAAGAAGAAAAACTTGATAAAACTGGGATGCTTAAATGTGCGTGGATGTAGTGCGGATGACAAGAAACAGATGATTGCTGATGTTATGAATGAAAAGAAGTTGGATGTCCTGGCTCTAAGCGAAACAAAGCTGAAGGGGGTAGGAGAGTTTCAGTGGGGGGAAATAAATGGATTAAATCTGGAGTATCTGAGAGAGTTAGAGCAAAGGAAGGGGTAGCAGTAATGTTAAATGATCAGTTATGGAAGGAGAAAAAGAG